GGGGAGAATTGGCACTACGTGGCAGTAAGGACTACTACGACCTCGGGCCAATGTTCCCTAGTGTGGCCAACGTGCTCGGCTAGTATAGCCTGCGTCGCAAACAGTCTAAACCGCCGGTATATCGGGGATTTCGGCTGCAACGCAGGCTGGGCTAGTAAGAGTTTAATCATGTCAAAGTGCCATGTTAATCATTAATTCTGTTCGTGGACTGCCCTCCATCAGATCGATGCTTAGATGTTTGTTCTGCTTAAGTAACTTAGAAACAATGCACGAGAAAGGTGCCAGTGACGTCCTCGATAAAGTTCTTCGATCTAAAATCAGTACTAGTGGAGAGTTATCGGTGTTATGTTTCCAGCTGACAAGCTGTTACAAATCCCACTAGGATTGCATTTTTAGTCGGCCATAGACGAGATTTGATCGGAGTAGCACACTTGTTGTACAAAGCCCAGCGAGCAGAGAAGTCCTATTTGACCGTATTTCCAGTTAAATTCACCGTAAACAAACAATCAATAGTTTATTGACACTCCCCTGATGGGGCTTTTCAGTGACTATACAAGAGAGCTAAACTAATTAAGTTAAATCCAATGTTCTTTGAACTGAACATGCACAAGTTAATCACATACATGTGTAGGAAGCTCTTTTGGCTCTTCTTTTGATCTAATATATAGAGCCTATTGGTTATTGGTATCACCCAACTAGTGGACTAATGCAAATCCTGCATTTTGATNTTCTTTCGTTTTATTCCCAAATAAATATTTCTTCAACTTGCATTTGCTAACTTTATCATTACCTTTTCTGTCCGACTAGTTGGTTGATACTAAAACAATCAGACCCTTTGCCCTCAAGGGCCACGGGTCAATAGCCCATGAGGCGAAGCCGAATGGGCTATTGACCCGTAGCCCTTTTGGGCTACGGGTCTAATTGTTAATTAACTGTAACAATTTTTGAACTCAAATTACCATACAGCATACCAGGGAATGCAAAGCCCCTAGCACATTGGTGCATAGCTATAGAAAGGTCCCCCATCCTAGATTTTTGTGATTGATATAGATGCTATTTGATGAATAGTCAATCGTTTGAAAATGCCAAAGTCAAACATTCAGCAGTTCTGAAGCTCTAAGTACAGTGTCAAATTATTTAAGCCCATATCTCACTCGCCATCTACTTGCTACTACCCCAAGTGAAATGATCCTCAGTGGTCCCTGTAAATGACATTCTAAATATCTGTCATGCAGCTTACAAGATGACTTTGTCACTGACTAAAGGTTTTGATTGAAAAATATTCTAGTAGTTGGTTTTCGGTACAATCAGTGACTTTATTTGCTACCTTCTATAAAAATGTGTTCATGCGCATTCAAAGATAGTGTAAGTGTACAGTATCTGTTTCAAGTCATTGGTAAGGACTAATATATTCTGTTACTAATGTGTCTCAGAGCATATTAACACTAAAACTGGTTAGCTTGCATTTATGACACTTAACAACATTTACGATCAACTATCTGGATCTTTGTGTTACACATCAGACAACTATTGTATAAAGCTGATTTACAATTACATACTATTTGGCATGACGAGGCATGCAATAACAACTTTACCAGATGATTCTCGGCATCCTGGTTCAATACTAATTGTGATCACACCCACTTGCTTTATAGTACTGTGTTTGCTGGTACAATTTTATACATTGTATGTGGTGAGATATGTCTTTTAAAAAAAATTATGCATACTAATGCCTTCAATGATGTAAGACTTTCCTATCTGTAAGTTTTCTATGTGTTTAGCATTCCATCTGCAGTGTCAAAATCAATCTTCATCAGCCTTTCCCCCCTAATATAACATTAATTCTTTCACAATCACCTTTTTGTAGGATCTTAGCCTTTACTGATATAGCCTGGAAGCCACACACTTATTGAAATTGAGAAATATTAAAGGGCATCTGTGAAAACGAATTGTCATGTTACTAATTAACAACATGTGGTGTTATTCAAGATATTATTGTAACCAGTTGTGTATTACCTCCTCAAATGCTCTTCGTCTACCCATGTTGTCTTGGACATTATCAATATTTACTGGTATTCTCTTATCTTGTATTTCTTTGAGGCTTGGATGCTTTTCGTCTGTTACTTCAGCTTTTGTGAGCAAAGTTTGCACTTGGAATTCAAAGTACATGTAGGAGCTTCCAGTGCTAGTGCTCTCATGTCAATAATTTTGTGGATACTAAGCCACAAATTTGGATGTTCATCAGTTTCCCTGTGAATGAAGATCTTGGGGAAAATAACAATAGAATTGGTTAAGAATATAGTATCAAAGGAATGCTAGTGATAATGAAGTGTGATTTTATGTAATGTGTGATGTACTATCGAACACTGTAATCAATACTACTCAACTCAATCACTGGATGGTTGGGCACTACAGGAAGCTAGAAAATAAATATCAAGAAATTTTGCTGCTTAGATTGATTACTGTATGAAAAAGCATTGAGCACCAGTAGCAAAACATGCTCAAATTGTTCACAAAAGCAGTGCTCAGGCATATCATTTGAGTCATATATTTATTTTAAATCAGTAAGTTAGTGGACATTGTAGTGTACAATATCCCCTAGACATTTTGAACTTTGTTGAGTAAAAAATGTGTAATAAGATTTTTATCATCAAACAACTCTTTTTTTACCCTTTTCACCAACATAATTTTCAAGAGAGAGTCAATGAAATTACTGATACAAGTTTATAGAAGAAGTGTATTGTGAGGATTTGAAGTAGTGTCAGTCTTGCCCGTGGTGAAGAGCAATATGCTTCATTTCCCTAGAATTTTCATTTGCAACTTCTTTGTTTTGTAAAAGAAGTTTGTCTAACCAACACAGTTCTGATTTGCATGTATCTATATCACTGTAATGCACTTGCTTAGTACATTCTGGCCATCGTACCAAGGAATATTCCAGGATTATGCTAATTCTTCAGAGTTTTTATCTCTACATATAATCAACAGTCTATTACTGATACCATCTTGACATCAACTGATTTTTTGCAAGAAAAGACAAGTGCCAGAATATACATTGGCTAGCTACACTGTAAACACCTGCAGGCATTTCACCTTCATACTTACTTTATTCATTTTCATCACCTACTTTTTTTTATGACTCAACATTTTTGTTATTTGCATTTATTGTTGCTCATAACTGATTATCTCATACTACATAGTTAACATTTTCATGTTGTGAATTTCTTTACTGCATCAAATAATGTATTATTCTGGATTAAAACCAATCCCATCATTTTTATAGAAATTGCTATAATCAACCAATCAGCAGCCTCCACTACCTTCTTAGGGTTGACATTTAATGACAATACAAAACTCTTATATTGCAACTATCTTCATAAGAATTGACTTTGATTGCACTAGCCTTACATGGTAGCCATGGCAACATACTAGCAGTATTAGAATAGATTATCAGCAAGAACACTGACAATAGGTATTACCTGTATCTTAAACTGTCTTGCGTTAGCTTTTGAAATGTAATTCTTGGTGCTAGCAATCTGCATTCATATTCATTTGAATCAAAGAGAGCTGTTATTGTGGAAAATTACCATGCCATTAACAACAGCACATGGAGTTTATACTCTACTACATGTCTATGGCATGTTCTACAAACCCATTCATTAACATCGACACTTATTTTTTATTACTCGTGTTAGCCTATTGATGACGTGCTGGTTAGCCTGTTTACGGTTAGCTATCAATGATGGAAATGGTAACACAATTCAGTTAAAAAGTCTACAGTCTGCAGTCTGCAGTCAACTTTCTGTGTTTTACACCGTCCAATTTATCACTGACTGTTAGAATCAGTGCTGCATGTTCCTCTTAAGAAGAGGCAATATTATTTAAATGTTGCAGGACTGGGATTTGACACTGAAACATGTTTCTTTGATGAATTACATGAAACTGTAAAATTAATATGTTTTAATTACGTATTTCACAAAACAATTGCTGTAGAAACTGTCTTCAGTAAATCTGCCTGTTTCAGTGGGTTCAAAAGTCTTCTCAGTGAGACACCGGATGGTTCTGTATCTCTTACAATCACAATAAGTTCTATATTATTGTCACATTCCACAATTAGCAACAGACACAGCTTTTCAGCTTTCAAGCACGTGTCAGTGTCCAGCGGGCTATTTTGCTTCGCATTTACAGCATCATAACAAACATGGATGTTGTACTATTGCTCTGTGTTTCACTACAGTACCAGTGATCTATCTGATCACCTGAAGGGATTTTCGTTTCCCAAAGGAAATACTTTAATTTGTGTCTCTAAAGACACATTTTGTTCTCCGAAGGGAATTCATGTTTCCCAAAGGCTATATTTTTTCTGGTTTGTGTCTCGCAGGACAATATTTGGACCAAGGAAGGGAATTAACAGTTTCCCCAGGGAAAATTTCATAACCCCGAAAAGGTTTAGAAATTGCCAGATCCTGTACGATCCTGTACATGGAGCATTTCGTAATGCTAAGCTGGACAAAACAATCGGCTATCACGGCTGTCTTACACAAGACCTTTTGTGTATCAGCGATTCCGGGAACGTTTTCCTGAAGAAAATTCTATCTGCGCCTTCAGATGCGTAAAATCTTTTTACGAAGAAACACTGTGCACGTTGCTTGAACGCTGTGTCTGATTACTGGTCCAAAATAGGATAAACACATAAATACAGAGTACTCTTACCTGAAAACTCTAGCTCCCAACCAGAGCGTTTTCGATACGTTGTGCGTGAGTAGTCGATGACAACTTGATCATTGGAGAGAGCAGGATTTAGCTTCGCTGGTCGTTCGGTAATGTATAAGTCAAAAATGAGACCAAGAGACGTTCGATTATAGCGGTCGTGTAAAGCCGAGAGAAAATGGATATTATACATTTGTCTATGTTGTGACTATATAAACATCGTACCGATTTCCCTTCGACTTCCGAACACAATCCGAAAATATGGACACTCTAGTTACTTACGCACATGATAACATAATGCTACTGTTGCCTAGCAACAGTAGCCACAAAAAAAAATTTTGGCACGCATGATCGATTCCCATGACCTCCTGTGTAGATGAACGATTTTATCGTGTGCCCACGCCGAGCTCAGTTTATTTTGAAAATGTTACGAAGTTTAGCGTGCTTCTCGCTTCCTTACAGAATCCACTTTCGCCGAATTCACATCACTTTCATCTTACTGATCGTCTGTTGCGGACTCGCTTTGGTTTTGCATCTTTCGGGTTATGGATTATTTTATTCGAGCTCTCACTTTGAGAAGACTCTGCGAGTAAAATATATCAAGCAAGTTGGAAACTACAGCTCGGCCTGTCGACTGCCTAATCTGAACCCGTTTCATCCAAGCATACTAGAATTTGTCAAAGATCTCGGCAAGTTACAGTGTAAAGGAGAGAGATATTCCTTTTTCGTTAATAACCTGCTTGAAGTGAAAGGACAAGACATATACTCTGCGCAATACAGGACCATTGAGAGACCGCATGGAGATGATTTCAAGGTGGTTCTTTCCGATGCCACGAGCTTGTCGAATGAAGCGGAGCCCGTGAATGATGAAAATAGTGCAAATACCGGTGAGATTAATTCAATACTTTCTCTGATGTGCTCTATTAAGGCTGGTTTCCCTATACACTCTTTTTGTAAGAATATTGTTCTTCCGGCGTGGAAGCGAATTTGCTTAAGAGAGTGCCAAGCTCTCTTATGCAAATTCGCTTCAACTTAGCCTCTTCACAAACCGCTTTTAATCTTTAATTATGTAGCCTTGATAATGGCTCAAGATCATGGCACCGAAACGTCAGTTTCTATCACTTATATTTCTTGTCTCGTTTGCTGATTTTAGGATGAAAACATTCTTGTGAAAGTTCTTAGATTACAGGACATAACTTCTTGCAGAAATGTTATTAGCATTGAACATAAGGCTAGTGGTGTTTTTGTTGCTTTTTGTCTGGTTTTGCCGTTCAGAGAAAGGAATAATTTTACACGGCTTCGTTAAAAACATATAATTGTATTGTATTTACAAATTTTGAACACACAAAATTTTATTAGTCTGGCGACCGACTACGGGTTCAACCTCGTATTTCCTGTCATAGCTCAGTCACGTGCAATGGGCCGATACCGCAGACTCGTCGTAAAGGCTCAACTTTCTTTTCACGATGGCGAAGTCGATACCGGAAGGTAAAGATTTACCCGTAAATCCTCGAATTAGCGCCCCCCCAGCCCCCCTCGAACCTCGAATAAGCGCCCCCCTTCGAATAAGCGTCCCTCCTATCGGCCAAAATTTAAAATAAGCGCACCACTCAAATAAACGCCCCCCTCCCCCCCTCCCCCCAATTTGTGGGCGAGTAATGAGACAACAAACGATGTATAGTTTTTGCTATGTAGAGCTTAGATTAGTTCATTGTTTCAGTTAAGTGAACACGTTGAACACGTTAAGTACTAACGGTGCCGCGATTTAAACTTTAGGATCAGCTTTTTATGTCAATAAACAGCTTATGTTGTTGTTTACGCGCAAATGATCATGTCAGGCCACGATTTGGGAAGAATTAAGTAAGTACCACCCCCCCCTCTCTCCTCGAATAAGCGCCCCCCGTCTTCTCCTAAATTTGAAATAAGCGCCCCGGGCGCTAATTCGAGGATTTACGGTATGTCGAATAGGCTAACAAATGGCGCCATTTTTTTCTACGTTCAAACATACAGACCCGCTCACTGTTCGCGGTAGATCCACTCTAAAAGATGGCGTAGTCAATGAGCGTATATTTCGAAACGGGTCGTTCCGTGAACTCAAAATAACAAGAAATTAAATCGAATGATTTAGCGAAGGTCTCACTATAACCAACTGAACCAGAAATCAAATGACTTATATGAGTTATCAATGAACAGAAAATGAGGACAGGGTGTCACTTCAGAATTTACGAAAGTTTTAAGTGCTGCTAAAGACAAGGTGTATCGTGATGAAACTCTAGGAAACTACAACAAAGATGCCATGCTTGACTGCAAAAGTGGCTTTCATCAGAATGAAGCTTAAGAGAAACGTAATTGTCATATTTATGTGACCTCTGTCATGATTATTACATTTACTTTGTTTTTGCTCAAACAGAGTGCATTATCAGCTGTTAATTTTTTTTCGATTAGGGACCGTTCATTTTTTACGTGGTAGTGAGGGCTGGTGGGATTGGAGGGGGGGGGAGCCATGCAAAAAAATGGCTTTCGAAGGGGCGCATCCAAAAAAAAAGTAAGGGAAAAAGTGGGGTCACGTGAAATATTTTAATAAAACTTTGAAATGGCATAATGTTTAAAAAATTAAAAAAATTGTTATAGAACAAACATAGTAGACAGGATACAAATTTATTACAAACTTTCCTTCTGCTTTAAAATAACGTTGTTTTCAGTGTGCATCCTCTTTCTTTCATTTGACTTTCTGCGGTTTTCTTTTTTCCTTCTCCTTTTGTTAATATGCTGTTTGTGTATGCCCTTGAATATGCTATCATAACGTCTCTTCATAAGCTATAACTACGAGGTCCGAAATTGACCTCTCTTTCTTTTAATTTGCGTTTTTTAATAAACAGCTCTCTGTAGAAAAGGAATCGTAAATTTAATAAATTGACGTCCGTTTTTTATGCGTTTGACGTCTTATTGATGATAAATTTGCGTCATGACATTGTCAAAGTGGCTGTGGAACCACTTGCCGCAGGCGAGTGGTTCCGCAGTAAACTTTGACAATGTTATGACGAGATTTATCTTCAATAAGAGGACAGAGGCACAAAAAACTGACGTCAATTTAATTTTTACAATAACAAGTCCTCAAAGTGGTCAAATGCAGGGAATAAATGAGGGAAAAAGACGCCGTAAACTTGCCGTAAACAAAGCTAAGTGAATTTTATTCAAAATGACGCGAACATAGTCAATAGCTTTTTTCGCTTTTTGATTGGCTAATTACGAAAGTCAATAAAATCCCATTGGTTCAAAAGTTGACAGTTTGACAGCTGAACGTTGGACTGTTGAAAGCTTGCATAAATTAAAATTTTATCCGTTTGTACTCTTATGGATGATAAAAATGAGCCAATCAGCGCCCGCGAAATTAGACAGTTATTGTAAAAATTGTCTTCATAGTGAGCACAATAACGTGAAGTAGGGGAATAAGTAAACATTAGTATCACCCAACTAGTGGACTAATGCAAATCCTGCATTTTGATTGGATACGCTACTAGGGGACTATTAGTAATAGTCATCGAGTAGCGAAATTGGCACCATCGAGCGTGACGCTTTCTTTCGTTTTATTCCCAAATAAATATTTCTTCAACTTGCATTTGCTAACTTTATTA